AGCCATATGTTAAAACTGGATATATGTAGCAAGCAAGAAGGCTTTTTTTTCTAACTCTCGACGACAAGGATATATTGCACAAGATGTTCTTCATACATAAAACCATGAAATCCATCGCATCCGATCGTAAAATGTGGGAGGAGATGATCAGTCAACAGCAAAATGGTGACTTAGAGTTACCGGATGACGATGATGACGATGATGATATGGCTGGGAGTGTAGCACAGTTAATAAATAAGGCATACAATTTCTTCATATCTCAGGAATTTGATTCTACAGAAGTATCATTGCACTTTCTTGGACGCCCGAAAAAGAGCAACCCAGATGTTTTTAAAGAGGTAATTGCTGCAACTTATCATAGACAACAGAAAGAGTTCATGTTATGAGAAAAAAGGATACTGAAATATGTTATGACTACTGGAAATATCTGTGGAAAAAGAGAAAGGGGAATATAACGCCAGAAGGTTCGTAATATATTGTGTTGTTTCCATGGCAAGGAGGTGTGTCAGCACACGAACTGATACTCGTTGTTTAAAATCGCAGATTATGGAAAGTCATGACTGCTTGCGCCAGTCGTCAAGACACTTGATGATAAAAATAATTTGTACTCTAAAGAACAGCGATCACCAATCCCAACATGTGTTGGCTGTTTATGGTTTTACTGATCAGTTTTTATTAGTTTTGTTTACGTTCATATTTTTGCTGAAATCGTTGTCAAAATCAATTTTTTAAAATGTTTTATATTATTTCAGGCATATTATATACACTTGTTTGGCATCCAGCACCTTTTTTTACATTCAGAATGAGGTTTGGAAATTCATATTTCCTGTTATGAGTTAGATTATCTTCACAGCACTCAGGACACATCCATAGGCGCCCAGATTCCCTTCTCAACATATTCATCAGCGTCGTGCGGTTAATAGTACCAGTCCTATGTTGGTGTGCGTCCAGTGTGCTTCTCGTGCTTGGCTGTGCCGGTCTTTACTCCCAATTCGCGTATTCTTAGCAGTGATGTGGATATGTTGCTTCCAAAATCCTCAGAACGTCCTATCTCTCTAAGAGCAATGACAATGTCTGCGTGATGCAGGGGCCGGCCATCTTCAATTAATACTGTGCCTGCCAGTCTATTAGCTCTCTAATTACCAACAACATATCTCCTGTTGATATCAAAGATGCGACTGGTCGAGTCCCATTGGGTCAGACTTCCTTCTAGGGTGCAACCGGAAGAGGATACTCATTCTTGTTTTGGGGCATTATCTCACGCATCGTCTTCAGAAAGAGGTTTGGAAATCCATGTCTTTTAATAGAGAAGTGATCTATTCTAATCTCTGTGTGTATTTTTGTACTCAGAATATGAGGTTTGAACAACGGATCAGCATCATGGCACAAGGATAGTAACCCATAAGTTTGTCCTTAGAATATTTGACTCAGTGGACCTGTTGGCAGAATTATCGTTTACGGCACACTTGTTAGGAACAGTGGGTCTATTAGTGTGAGGTTTGAACAACGGATCAACATCATGGTACTAAGGTAGTAACCCATAAGTTTGTCCTTAGAATATTTGACATAGTGGACCTGTTGGCAGAATTATCCCACATACTCTTGGGTATTTATTTAGAAATGATGGCGGTGGGGTTTGGGGTGGGGAGGGGGTGGTTAAGAATAACAACTAAACAGCTTACTTACTCCATCCCTCCCTCCCCCCCCACCCACACACAAACACACACAGTGAGCTGCTGCTGCTTATTACAATCCAAGCCGTGTTTCTCATAAACTTCCAGTCAGTTCTGACACAGATGATCTTGCGTGCTATGATGTCAAACTGTCCAGCATCTTCTCTCTCATTGGTATCTCTCTCTCTCTCTCTCTCCCTCCCTCTCGTTCTCTCTGTGTTTCTTTTAACTTTGCCATCGTAACAATGCGCTCCAGTTTTCTTTTTGCATGACACTATTCAGTATATGTTTACCTCCACTGTATTCTTTAATCAACAAACTACCGCCTGCGTAACACACACACACACACACACACACACACACACACACCAAACAAGCGCGCGCGCACACAAACACACGATTTTCACATCCTGCACAGTTATACTCATTTACAGATAGCTCTCTCTCTCCCAACAGGCAGTCTAATCTTATACGTATTCTAATTTGTAATTGTCACAGACGAGACAGATCAGAGTTTACAACACACTAAATCTCCACCTTACGTCGGAAAACGAAAATAGCATTCGTCTTAACGTTGACAAAGCTGACAGTCTGTGGAGACAAATATCTTGATTGATTTTCGCTTATGGCCATCTTGTAAGTTCATTATACGAACGATGGTGGTCGGATAGTACTGGCCAAATGGCTGTAAAGTATTCCCGATTTGTGTACTGCTTTGTACTTGTGTTGGGTTCTGAGGGCGTCGTTAACGACCGTATTGATCGTTTAGTCACTGTATTTGGGAAGTTCTCTTGTCTTGCCAATTTCTGGCTCATTTATGGGAATTATGAAACCTTCCCGGATTATATCGTATCTTTTTGGCTTACTCTCATTACTGAGTATGTGCATGCGTGTTAGCTAGTGCTCGTATGTGTGTATGTATGTGTGTGTGTGTGTGTATATATATATATATATATATATATATATATATATATATATATATATATATATATATATATACACACGTGTATGTGTGTATAGCTTTGTGTGTTTTTTTGTCCTTTTTTTTTAAGTCAGTGTAGAACAAAGAGGGGTGAATAACACATATATTCACAGACTTTCTTCTACTACTTCGTTCTTCCTTAAATTAAAAAAAGGCGGTTGGCAGGTAATATTGTGGTTTACGTCTAGATTACCATATCTGCACCGTTTAACCCAGCACATTCGATTTCAGCAAATACCTAATTAATCGCCGTTTAAAACATACTTGTTAGGATTAGTGGGTCTATTCACCCTCCCCCCCCCCTTCTCTTTTTCCCCACACACCGCCAATTGAACCGGTGGAACCTACACAGAAAACATCACCGAATTTACTCTACAAGATTTTGAGTAAGGGTGTGACGTTGAACAGGACCAGGAGCGCGCAAAGAGATTTAACACCCTGTGACACAAAGTGTCTTTTTAAATAAACACAATCCAGCAAAGATGCAATGTAGCCAATCAAGTCTTAGGCAAAATGACTCTATTTTGAAATGCAAGTATGTGAGTCATTGTTATGAGAAGTCAAACTATTCCTTCTTGTTTGACGTACACAAGACAGTTCAATGACATTTACTATTTACTTTACATTACGTTGATAGCCAGACATAGTATCTGTTATATTCATTATTCCCTGTTCATATGTGAACCTCATTAAACTGAACAAGCAGAAAATTCAATGGTACGGGCTTGTAATATGACATGATGACCTCTTAAAAACAATTCTACAGGGCTCAATAGATGGGAAGAGGAGAAGACCAAGAAAAACCTGGATACAGAACTTGACTGACTGAACATGTCTTAGGCATGTGCTAAGAACACCTAAAAGAACACTGTTCTACACAATATTCTTACCAATGCTATGATATCAGTGTCAAACATGGACACTGTCTTCAGAAGACAGAAGGAAAATAGTCACAACAGAATTAAAATGAATACGTACTATGCTAGGTGTAACGAGGAAAGATCGACTTAGGAATGATGATGTCAGGAGGAGAATCGGCTGAACTTTATAGGTAGAAATAAATCGAATGGATTTGCCATAAAACAAGATTGGCATCAGACAGGGTATCACAGAGAGCAATGGTATACATATACAAGGGTAACAGACCCAGAGGTCAACTACGCAAAATATGCACCTTATAAATATCAGACCCACTGAAAAGTACTTTGTACGAAGAGAACAAAAGGGCCTGTTCCAGAGATCTCTTCCTGCCCTGACACTGCAAGGCATCCAGGAGTACAGAAAAGAAGAGAAGAATAAGAGACACAAAGTGACACTATTCAGATGAGAATCCTTCAGGTGCAGATCCCAGAAAACCCCGCTCAGCCATAAGATTATATTAGTGCACCATATGCTTATGAAATAACCTGAAGTTCTTATGAGCTGGGGCTCTAGTATCCATGCTCCATAACGAGACGGAAATTATTATTATGTAAAAGATTTTGAAGACTGCCTTGTTTTTATACAACTGGATTGCCACCCGGAGCCTAATCATGTTAGAGTTAAGTTGAGTCAAGAATTGACATCACAGCATTTGAGGTATTCCCGTGTGTACTCCGTCCACATCTTCAGCAGCCAGCACAGAGTTCCAATACTGATGGTACCAGTCACAATCTGGTTATAAGTCCGTCTTGCCTTTCCTCTGAGTGTAGTGAGCCGGCCAGATCCTCTGGTTACACCCAGGGGCCTCATTCTCTCCAGGCCATAATAATCTTGTTTCTCCACTGATTTCGTTGTTTGTTCCCAAAAGGCATTGACCACATCTGCCTTGTCACCAAATATGGAAGAAATCTTACCAGTACCATACAGGAGGTTATTTTCTCTTGGCACGAGTGCCAAACATGGACACTTATCTAAAGCCCATGTATGCAAAATCACCATTGGCAAGATGAGATGCCTGAGAAATACTGCCAACCCCACCATTCGAGATCGACTGAAAAATTATACTGTCAGACAAATTGCGGGAACGGCACCTTGTACTAAATTCATTGAGAAACAGCAGATCAAGTGGTTTGAACATCTCGTTAGAATGCAGCAAGATCAAATACCATCACAAGCACTACATCTCAGAAGAACAGTTCAAAATCGAGGACGGCCACAAAAATGGATCGACAACATTAAAGACACTACGCCTTCACGGCATGACAATAGCCAGTGGCAGCCAGCGTGCACTGGATCTCAAATTATTCCTCCAAACAAGCCAGTTAGTGAACCAGATAGTCAGCTACCAACTAACCAGAACAATCAACCAACAAGTCAACAAGTTGACCAACCAGCTAATCAACATTTTTTTTCTTCAATTCCAGATGCAGACCTGGAAGAATTCATTGAGGAAGTGGTCCATGCTGCCAACAGAGGGGTGTCAGCTGTGAAAAATGTATCCCAGCCAGAACCCAACTGGAGCTTTGGACAAGCTTTGTTCTTTGCTAGTACTATTGTCACCACTATAGGTAGGTTATAACTGGTAGACATATAGTTCCATTTCAGTAATATGTGTAAGGTAAGTGAAAGTGTTATAGAGGGGTCTACACGACAAAGTGGTTAAGGTGTTTGCCTCTTGCTCTTCTACTTCTGCTTATTCTTCTTGGCACTCGCTGGCTGTAAACTCTAGCAGAAAATTCTGGTTGTTCATCCACTTCTGGAACTTTGGTCTTTTTCTACAATTTGAGTTTTGAGTCCGCTTAATTTTTACGGATCTGGCCTATTTGGAGATTGTTGGTTCCTTGCATCTCAGATAAATGCACTGGGACTTCAAAGGAAACATCCGTAATTAGTCGCTTTTATCACATGCTTGTTGAGGGAAGGGGGGGGGGGACAGTGGCTCTTTTCTGTTTTTACTCCGTATGATCTCCATTAAATCCATACATGGAGACTCTTGCTATGAAAGCCATGGGTTCATTTCACGGCCATAATTTTTTATTTTTGACAAGAGCAAATTCATGATCTCTGGAGATCAACACTGGAACTACAGAGTTTTTGCTTTGTATTATGACACACTTGCCAGGTGGGTAGCCATTGTATGGAGATAGACTGAACCGTATGTTCAATCATTTTGACTTTACATATTTATCTAAGTGTCATAGCATAAACCAGAATGAGCTCACTGTAGTAAAGCTATGAAAATGACGTACTTCGTATCATTTTGTCATTTATAGATATTTTGTGTCACATCTGTGAATAAGAGTGGCACGCTTCACTTGGAAGGTCATGGGTAGTGAGCATACTCTTGATCTTTTCTCTAATCCATTCTGGCATGGTGGGGAATGAACAGGTGGATTGATTTTCCGGATCTGCCCCTTCGGGTGGTAAATTGATACATGGTAAGGCAGATGTGGTCAAGGCCCTTTGGGAACAAGTAACGAAGTCAAAAAAGAAACAAGATTATGATGGCCTGGAGAGAATGAGGCACCTGGGTGTGACCAGAGGGCCTGGCCGGCTCACTACGGACATATTACCAGACTACACCCAGTACCATTAGTATAGGAGCTGCACTGGCTGCTGAAAATTGGGATGGGGCACATATGGGAATGCCCAGAGTGCCGTGATGTCAATTCTTGGCTTAACAAAACACATCTGTGAATACTGTAATGTACTTTAAATAATGTGAACGCAATACATTGCACAAAGCATAGCTCTCTATATCTCGGCAGGTGCATCACTAAAAAGTTACATTAATATATAATGAAGCACAAACACTGAGTTAACTCTACTGAAATACAAATCACATGGTCTCTCTTGATACATTTATAGTCTTATCTCTGGAAGTTTATGATAGTCAGGAGACTTATCATGGTAATTTTAGATTTACAAACGAACACACTCTTTGATGGGAGTCACCATGGTGGAGCGGCTAGATCGGAAGGTCGTGGATTCGCTCCCTGGCGGAGTCGGACTTCGTTTCAAAAACGACCTTGTATCCCAGGTTGACCCAGCCTTAAGTGGGTACCGGAAACAGTCGCGGGAAGTAAAGGTGGTCACCGTGATGCTGACCACATCACCTATCTTATGCAGGTTGGTCTCTGAAATATAGGTCTAGCCCTATATGCCTAAAGGTGTGGAAAAGGGTTCTTTACTTACCTTCTTTGATAAAAAAAAAAGAGGGGGGGGGGGCGGGAGAGGGAAGGGCACTGTAATGTACTTATTGAAATGTTATTTTATTTTTGTTGCTGTTATATTTCTCTTTCCTGTTTGCTGATGAAGTCTTGTTGCAGCGACCCTCTTTGCTTATTTATCGTAATAGGTTCTGTAAATCTGAGAAAGACTGCATACTGAATTTTTTTTTTTTTTTACATTATGTAAGTGTTAGTAATGTATGGAAGACATTTATTCATTTACATTATGTAGGTGTCTGTAAAGTAAGGGGGACATAACAGTTTTATGACATTTCATATGTAAGTGTTTGTAGTGTAAGGCAGACATTCATGTACCTGCATGATGTTCCAAATGTAAGCACTTGCAATGTAAAGTGGACATTTACTCTTTTGTATGCTATTTCATCATGTATTGAGATAAGGAGCACTGGAAAATATCATGATGACTGGAAAGATCACTGGCAGTAGAGGCAGACCAATAGAAATGATGGTGAATGGCTTAAGACAGTGGGATGGAGGAATATCATCAGTGGAATTGAACCTAAGCACCAAAGATGGAGATCTGTGAAGATGTATGATCGCCTATGCCAGCTGGCTAGGCACTTGATGATGATGGTATTTGATGATGACCGGTGATTTGCTGGGATGAGTTGACATCTCTGCATGCTATCTGCTGTTAGAGCGGTACCCTGTCCCCAAAAGTGGAGGTATTTTTGCCATGATAAGCGTCACTGCAGCCGTAGAGAACAGTGATAGAGTGTACCATTTGCCGAATTGGCTAGCAAAAAAGAGACTTTCAGGTGTGCTGTGAAGAGAGCTGGTCGTGAAGATTGACGATGATCACGACGGTAGACACTCAAAAATTTTAATTTGTTAGTGCTAAAGTGATGGCCGACATGAAGAGAGCTGCATTCAATAACAAAGGCTAGGATAGCTTGGTCTGAGATGCTCCATTGGGGAATAAAGATCAGAAGTTAAAAAAGTGCTGAAGAAATGTTTATTCTTTCACATGTTTGATAATTCAAATGAAAATGCAAGTAGCATACGGTAAATTTACATTCCTTTATGTTGCATTTCATATGAAAATGCTAATAAATTGTGCCCTTTAACATTTCTTTAACTTTTAAAAAAGAGAAGACCAGTTCTAAATCTATTTTGTGCTCTGTTGCCTTGTTTTGTTTTTATCTTGGTTCTAGCTTTAAAATATCTCAAATATTTTCATGTGAAAAGTCGATACAATTTGAAAAAAAAAAAATGTAAATAAATGCAGTATTTTCCATTTGTAAATGTAAATAAAGACACAAACAACAGCGGGCATAGTTTATTTTGCCTGCAAAATTTCCCATTTCAGTACCTGTTTACAGCAAAATATTCCATACAATAAAAAGAGAACAGTCTGTTGTCTGTACCTTTGTACTAAAGAAATATGGCTTCCAAAAACTGGCACTTTTTTAGTATACAGTGTCTTTAAAAAGAATGCTCTTGTGATATTTAGTAGTAATTATTGAACGTCAGCTGTAAAATTGTCTGCTAATGAAAGAGCTAAAATACTGGTAAAAGTACACACACAAATAAGACTCCAAACATCAAATGTTCAAGTCCATTAAGAGATGCGAGATACTAAGAATATTATACAAGGCTCATTTTTCTTCTGGTGAGAAATGGCGCACACAGTCAAAATGTTTAGTATTACCTGGTCACTTTACTTCCCTAGGGAGATCTCAGATATCTGTTTACAAGGCTGGTTTTACCACATAAATCACATGGTGGAAGAAATTTCCAGAAGTACAGAAAATCCACCACAGAATTACTTAACTGACAACAAACACTGTGCCGCCTCCATAATGAAGGTCGGCTTTGGTGGACCACTATTGTCTTTGGGAATGTTAATGGTGAGAGCTCAATCTCTTCCACGGTGCAACTCTTGTACCCTTGTCCAAAAACCATAAAAACAATTTTTTTTTCCAAAACAGTCCACGAACCCTAGCACTTGATGATCACAAAACTATTAACCGCATTCACTAACCTTTAAACCAAGGAGCTTCAAGTGACAAGCAAGTGCAGTAACTATTAAACAACCTCTACTTTTTTATTTTTTTGTATGGTATAATGAAAATAATCACTTGACACATGTTAAAGGATGGAAAGCAATGTGGTTTTCACATATTTTAGGATTTTGGGAGACCACATTTCAATTTTCATAGGGAAAACAACCTCAGAGAAATTCAGCATATGGCTGTGTGGCCTGTCACTTGCCTACTCTGAACGGATGCTCCCATTGTCAGAGAGTTTTATACTGTCCAGTGACCAAATTAACACTGAATACAGGATATTATTTTTCTTTACATATAAATCTTATTTGCCCATTTTATGAAACAGTAAGATATTAGGACAACATTGCTACTCAAATAGTGTTAACATTGCTTGTAATATAGTGCCTACATTACTTCTCAAATAGTGTCTACATTGTTTGAGAAGTAGTGCCTAGTTACTATGCCTGGGTTACTCTTCTAGCTGTCCAAGAAATTCTAAAGATTTTTCTATAAAACCACATCTCTAAAACCTCTAGATATTGTTCGGATTGTTTATTAATTGTCCAAGATTCACAGTCATATGTTAAAACGGGCTCTATATAGCTTGAGAGAATTCTTTATGGTGTCTTATTGTTTGTTCATCAGTTTTATGAGTGAACAGTGATTATTGTTTGTTCATCAGTTTTATGAGTGAACAGTGATTATTGTTTGTTCATCAGTTTTATGAGTGAACAGTGATTATTGTTTGTTCATCAGTTTTATGACTGAACAGTGATTATTGTTTGTTCATCAGTTTTATGAGTGAACAGTGATTATTGTTTGTTCATCAGTTTTATGACTGAACAGTGATTATTGTTTGTTCAACAGTGATTATTGTTTGTTCATCAGTTTTATGATGAGTGATTACAGTTTTTATGAGTGAACAGTTGCACACAGACACAACTTAACATTATTATAGATTACTATTCTTGGCTCATAAACTTTTTAGGATATAAAATAAGCATAAATAATAAATATATAAGAAACAGCACACCTGTAAGATGTCATGGCAATGTCTAAACGTTTAGATTTTGACTGTCATCATCACCATCATCACCAGCTTTCACTTTTGCCATTTAGTGATGGGGAGGAACAGTTTGCAATCCATTGCTTGATGGTTAGCAGTGGCTATTATCATTCCGTGTTGATGTACAAGTCTTAGTTGTCACCAGTCCATCATCTGCTAAGGGAAACTTCTTGGTTTTACATTAGACTTTGTCTCAGATAGTTAATCTTCTTCTTCTTCATGTTCACTGGATGTAAACTCCAGTTGACAGTTCTGGTTGTTTGTCCACCTCAGGTCTTTAGTTTTGTTCCAGAACCTGAGTGTTGCATGCACATCCGTTTAACAGATCTGACTTAATTGAATGCAGATTGTTGGTTCCTTGCCTCTCAGACAGATGCACTCCAACCTCAAAGGCAGCCTTCAATTAGTCAACTCTTACGACATGCTTTTTGGCGAGGCAGTGGGTCTGTTCTTGTTTTTCCCCACAATAAGGCCCCGGAGGAATGGTTAATGTAGTTGGCAACTTTCCTCAGGCATCTCCTTTCACAGATGTTAATTTTTTTTAGGTTAGCCTTTGATAATGTCCAAGTCTGGCACTGGTAGCACAGTGTTGGTATGAACATGCTGTTTATAATCTGTTTCTGCCCGGCTCTCTAGCGAAGTTGGTTAAACCTGATTTTCGCGGCGGCCGGGTGACGAACTCCTTGTGGTCCGGGTTCACTCCCGGGGGTAGGCAGAAAAGCCACATTTCTCCCAGATTAATGGTACCTATAATGGAATCAATGCCGAAGGGTTGCGATATCCATAGTACCGAGCCAAAGGGTTTACAACTCATGGTTTCTGGATACGTTAAAAAAAAAAAAAAATTATCTGTTTCTTGATGGCTAAATTTATGCCTGGACGTCTTAACAATGGCTTAAAACAACATACAGCAGTGTGGGAACAGCATATTTATAAATGCATCTGTGTCCTCTTGTGGGTTTTGGGACCCATTTTGGGTGAAGTAAAGATAGACCCACTCCACTTAAACAACTATGTTTTAAAGGGTGACAGATTAGGGGTATGGGAAAAGAAGAGGGTGGGGGGTGGGGGCGGAATTAGGACATTTTAGATTTTATCTTAACTTTCTTTGAAGCCACAGCTGTCAACATAATTCTATTCCATATTTCATAAGACAGTCTGTAAATAAACACCCGTCATTAAAGGTTGAAACAAAAATTTGTGGATGCTACATAGAACCAATTTTAACATACGACTGTGAATCGTGGACAATTAATCAGCATAGCAAAGAATTTCTTGAGGCCTCAGAGGTGTGGGGTTTACAGAAGAATGCTGAAATGCCTTAGTGCCAAAATTAGTAGCCCAAATGTTTGGAAAGAGAATAAATCATGAAAACGATACATCCCAGACATCTGAAAGAAGCAGCCCCATTTTTGCCAGATTTTGGGAAGAGAAAAACTGGAACATTTTCTGCATTTATAAATATTTATGGAAAAATAAATAGAGGAAGACAGTGTGAGAAGATTCCTGGCAGCATTGCTTCATGCAATGGACGCCAGCACTTGAATGTAATACTTACTGTTGGAGATTGCAAGATGTAGAGAGGTATGATCATTTTATCCAGTCAGCAAGGAACTCGACAGTAATGATGAAATAAGATAAAAACCTATAGTTAAATGTAGGCTTTTGTATGCAATCTGTGTTTGTCACTTAAGATGAGAAAAGAATTATCAAGAGCTAAATAAATCCTATCCTGGTTTATGGAAGAGAATCATGGTCAGCTGGACAATTAGTGAAAAATTATTTGGACATGGTGAAAATGTGATTTTATAGATAAATGACTAGAATACCCTGAAATAAAAAAATAAAAAATGTAATGAAGATGTCTTGAAACTGACTGAGGATGAGAACTAATTGCCTGCATCAATTGGTTCATGTTATGAGAAAGAAACCTGCAGTACATAATGACAGTGGGTAAACCTGATGGGAAAAGAGGCAGAAGAAGATAAAAAGAGATGCTGGACAGTCTGACATCATGCCATGGAAGAGCATCTATGTCAGAACTGATTGATAGTACATGAGATAGAGGGTTGTGGATGTACATGACTATCAATGCCACACAGAATTGACTGTAAGAAAAATAACCTCGTTGTTAGTTTATGGTACAAAATAACATATCAAAAGACTGCTAATAGACATTAAAAAGAAACTCTAATGCAAGTTTATGGACATCAGTACAAAATAACATATCAAAAGACTACTTGTTTATGGACTTTAAAAAGAAGCATCTCTGTTGCAAGTTTATGGACATCAGTACAAACTAACACATCAAAATATTGTTTATGGACTGTAAGAAGAAGAATCTCTGTTGCATGTTTATAGACATCAGTACAAAATAACGTATCAAAATACTGCTTATGGACTGTAAGAAGAAGAATCTCTGTTGCATGTTTATTGATGTCAGTAGAGAATAACATAATAACATATCAAAAGACTGCTTATAAACTGTAAAAGAAAGAAGAATCTATGTCGCAAGTTATGTACGTCTGTACAAAACATCATTTCAAAAGACTGCTAATCTGAAGACATTGTTGTTCAGTAAGAGATATAGTTAAGATTATTTTAGCTTCATTAATTCTGTGAAAGCTTTATCTAGACAAAAGTAAGGCTAATAATGAACTTTCAAAAAATTTTGAATTTTTCTTTTGCACATATTATCACATAGATGAATTATAACAGGTGTCTAAGTTCTCATTAGTTGCTTTTTGTGGCTTAGGCATTTTGAATGTGCTTTGTAATGCCAGGGAACCAGCTTTGATCCTAGCTGCAGGCGATTTGGCAGCAGACCATCTTGTTTAGTTTCCACATTGAAACTGAAAGTCAGTCATTAAGAAGGAAATGGCAAACTAATGAATTTAAATTCACCTAGAACTCAGCACTGCCTAGGCTACCATAAAAAGTACTGGTTTCATGCCTTCAGGCGTATTTAGCATATACTGTTAAACCTATATTTTATACAATGCCATAATTGTGGAAGACTTTTCTAAACTCTGGCAGGTCTTGCTAGTCACATTCACATCACCATGGGCTGTAAGTCTCATGCCTCCTCATAACGCAGTATAACACTATCATCTGGAAAGATGAAAAGGTGCCAATCAATCATATTTGATACATTGATTGGCACTTGGTGGGTGATGTCGTCAACATGACACCAGCCGCCTTTAATTCCCAGGACTTTTTCTGGTACCTAGGCTAGGCTAGTTTGACCTAGGAGCCAATGTCATTTTTAAATTCTGTGTTAGGCTCCCATTAGGATGTTTATTTACAATGTTCTCAGTTTTCTTGTTTTCTTTTCAAACACATTTTTTTACTTGCCCGGTTGTAATGGGTGAATATCCCCTCAGGTTATGGCCATGTTTTACTTGTCCAGTTGTAATGGGTGAATATCCCCTCAGGTTATAGCAGGGTGGTGCCATGTTTTACTTGTCCACTTGTAATGGGTGAAATCCCCTCAGGTTATGGCAGGGTTTGGCCATGTTTTACTTGTCCAGTTGTAATGGGTGAATATCCCCTCAGGTTATGGCAGGGTGGTGCCATGTTTTACTTGTCCACTTGTAATGGGTGAATATCACCTCAGGTTATGGCAGGGTGGTGCCATGTTTTACTTGTCCACTTGTAATGTGTATTTATCTCCTCAGGTTATGGCAGGGTGGTGCCATGTTTTACTTGTCCACTTGTAATGGGTGAATATCTCCTCAGGTTATGGCAGGGTTTGGCCATGTTTTACTTGTCCACTTGTAATGGGTGAATATCACCTCAGGTTATGGCAGGGTTTGGCCATGTTTTACTTGTCCAGTTGTAATGGGTGAATATCCCCTCAGGTTATGGCAGGGTGGTGCCATGTTTTACTTGTCCACTTGTAATGGGTGAATATCACCTCAGGTTATGGCAGGGTGGTGCCATGTTTTACTTGTCCACTTGTAATGGGTAAATATCTCCTCAGGTTATGGCAGGGTTTGGCCATGTTTTACTTGTCCACTTGTAATGGGTGAATATCACCTCAGGTTATGGCAGGGTTTGGCCATGTTTTACTTGTCCACTTGTAATGGGTGAATATCTCCTCAGGTTATGGCAGGGTTTGGCCATGTTTTACTTGTCCACTTATAATGTGTGAATATCTTCTCAGGTTATGGCAGGGTGGTGCCATGTTTTACTTGTCCATTCGTAATGTGTGAATATCTCCTCAGGTTATGGCAGGGTGGTGCCATGTTTTACTTGTCCAGTTGTAATGTGTATTTATCTCCTCAGGTTATGGCAGGGTGGTGCCATGTTTTACTTGTCCACTTGTAATGGGTGAATATCTCCTCAGGTTATGGCAGGGTTTGGCCATGTTTTACTTGTCCACTTGTAATGGGTGAATATCACCTCAGGTTATGGCAGGGTGGTGCCATGTTTTACTTGTCCACTTGTAATGGGTGAATATCTCCTCAGGTTATGGCAGGGTTTGGCCATGTTTTACTTGTCCACTTATAATGTGTGAATATCTTCTCAGGTTATGGCAGGGTGGTGCCATGTTTTACTTGTCCACTTGTAATGTGTGAATATCTCCACAGGTTATGCCAGGGTGGTGCCATGTTTTACTTGTCCACTTGTAATGTGTCAATATCTCCTCAGGTTATGGCAGAGTGACGCCGCTGTCAGATGCAGGAAAAGCCTTCAGCATATTTTTTGCCATCTTGGGGATTCCTCTGACTCTGGTGCTCTTCTCTGCCTGTGTGGAAAGGCTGATGATACCCACCAGGCATCTGCTGTATTGGCTCTATGGAAAACTTGGTCATCTTTATAAGGTAATATCATCTTTATAAAATAATAATAATATACTACTTCTTCTTGGTATTTGGTTACATATTCTTAGGTAAACTGTGGGGTGGGCTGCCACTATGAACTCACATGACAGTTGTAGGTCCTCCATGCTTCCACATGACTTGCTCTTCACACTTTGCTTTTAGGCAAGGTTTCTCTTTGTAGTTAATAAGTATAATATTAACATACCAGAGATGTTACTGTATCGTCCGGTAGGCAGAACAAGAAATAATACATAACATAACCCTTGACCCATTAGGGTCGTGGAGGTGTATTATTGGAAGCTCTAACACCTAAAATCTGCCATCATTCTCTGTCTTCTGCTCGATGAATTAGTGTATGATAACTTAGTCCTGTCCATTTCTTGATGTTGTCATTTCAGATCCTTCTTTGCCCTTCTCTTCTTCGACTACCTCCCAATGTTCCTTGAAGTACAGACTTTGCAATTACATTAGGTATTGAATGTGATAATTGTATAAAAGCTTCACAGATGCTGTCTTTCGTGAGGACCATCATTTGGTCTTAACCATAGCCAGCTGCCTGAGTCCCCGGATAATCTTGAAGTACTCATGTTAGAAGACTGGGTCTAGAGCAGAGCCATTGATTGATTGATTAATTTGATTCAAGAACCGACATCACAGCACTTGGGGTATTTCTGTAAGGGCTCCGTCCCCATCTTCAACAGCCAGTGAAGAGTTCCGATACTAATGGTGCCAGTAGCATTCTGATTAAACTTCTGCCTTGCCTAGAGCTAGTCCCATAGTTTTAATCTATACAGATGGCTCTGTGTTGAGGGGCAGATGAAGTGCATGACGTTTCATAGCAAAGGCAAATGGACGTCGCCTAGTGCAGCAAAGCTTTGCATATGATATCACGTCTAGTTGAGAATAGAGGTGGAGACAGTCTCTGCTGCCTTCCACTGGCTTGAGAATCAGCTGTACACATATGCCATGATTGTAACTGACTCACAGAACATGTTGAGAAAGGTGAAAACAGGCATGCTTTGTGCAGAGTGGCAAGCATCACTTCAGAGGTCCCGGGTAGTAAGCATCCTTTGATATTTTCTCCAGGTTATGCCGGTGTGTTGGAAAATGAGCAGGCAAATAGACTGGCTTTCTCTGCTCCACTTGGTGGTGAACTTATGTATACAAAGTGAGATATTGTGAGGGCCCTTTGGAAGTGAGAAAACAGTGCGGAGGCGCAGATATATCATTATGGTCTAAGGAGAATGTTGCTGGGAGACCAGGGAATCTGGCCGACGCTCAACACTCAGGGAAAGGATGAGACGGATATTTAATCAGACGGTTACTGGTACCTTTGGAATTGGAACTCTTCATTTGCTGCTGAAGATGGGACTGATCACTTATGAGAGTGTCCCGAGTGCTATGTTGATTCTTGATTCAACTTTCAACATTCCATAGTTTTAGTAGCTCTTGTCTTGGTTGGCAGCTGGTCTAGGAGGGAAGCTTCCACAGGTGGACAGACAGCACTGCTCTTCTGATCTGCCAGCTTTGACAATATGCATTGTGTCATGTATATTAGTGCTATCTTTTCTTTTCGAGTAAAAAGGGTGGCTGAGCGAGCAATCATGCTGCATTAGAAACACTTTACCGAATGGCCCAGGCTTTATGCTGTAGAGAAGTGGTATGTTAAATACATCTCACCAAGTTCTTGAAATTTCATGAACTAATTGTGGAGGAGTTTTAATGTAAGCATTTCTTCCCTTTCACACTCACCGTCATCATGGGCTGCGTTTCCCATGTCTCCACACTGATCAGTATGACACTATTGTCTGAACAGATGGAAAAGTGCCAATATACTTTATAGACTAATCAGCATCTGCACCAGGTTTGATCCTATATGGCTCAGTCTCTCTCCACAGAAAAGCTAGCTGCCTGCCGAGAGTGCCACACAGAGTGTGACCTTCATAGCTCCGGCAACGATCCCTCTCGTGAACTGAACAGAGCTGCAATGAAACGAACCCTTGCCCTTCAGAGTTTGAGTCAAACAGCTTGACCACTTTGCCACGGAGGCTCTTGATTGCAAAGGGTATAAATAAAAGATCACTGACAAACTCACTAGGAGCAGCAGTAGATACATCCATATGTAGTACAAGTAAGACAAAGGACTTTAGCAGACAAATTAAGAAGAATTTGGAGGCAGCTGAGATGTGGTTCTTGAGAAGAATGTTGCTAATACTTTGAACTGCCATAATAACAGTAATTGCCTGGAAATGGCTAATGAAAGTAAAGCATTATACACAACAGTGAGAAAGAGACACAGTTCTTTAGTCATGTGATGAGAAAAGGAGTACTGGAAAATATTGTAATGACTGGAAAGATCACTTGTAGAAGAGGCAGAGGCAGACCACGAGAAATGATGGTGGATGGCTTAAGACAGTGGCATGGAGGAATATCATCAGTGGAATTGATCCAGAAGACCAAAGATCGAGATCTGTGGAGATGCATGAACGCCTACACCAGTTGGCAAGGCACTTGATGATGAAAAGACTTTTAAATAGGCAGTTAAAATTCCACCCAGTTTAGACATTTACCCAGGATGCCCTCTTGAGAGAATGCCTTGTGATGACATACAAAGACAGCAAATCAAATGGTTTAGAGAGAATGCCTTGTGATGACACACAAAGACAGCAAATCAAATTATTTAGAGAGAATGCCTTGAGATGACATACAAAGACAGCATATCCGATGGTTTGCCCACTTAGAGAATGCCTTGTGATAACATACAAAGACAGCAAATCAAATGGTTTAGAGAGAATGCCTTGTGATGACATACAAAGACAGCATATCGGATGGTTTGCCCGCTTAGATAGAATGCCTTGTGATGACATACAAAGACAGCAAATCAAATGGTTTAGAGAGAATGCCTTGTGATGACATACAAAGACAGCAAATCAAATGGTTTAGAGAGAATGCCTTATGATGCAATACCATACTCAAAGAGGAGAAGGACATAGATCACGAAGTAGAACAAAAACAAGATGGAAAGATAACAACATAAAAAGTCTACAGTTGCATGATATGTCTGTAGTTGAGGCACCCAGAAGAGCAATAAGCAGAACCTTATATCTTCCTCGACAGCTGAATGGGTGAAAGAGAAAGTGAAGGAGAAGAAGAAAGTAAAGGACACGAATAGTAACCATGGTAACACAGTTTCTAGAACCCTGCCTACCTGCCTGACTCTCTGCATTATATTAAAATTATGATCCACTGGATGCTTTGTGGCTGCCTTTGGCTAGGTTAGTGAAGCCCAAAAAACAATATAGGTACCAGGAAGTGACATGGAAAGAAAAGTGGCTGGCATTGATCTTGACATCATCTGCCAGCTGGTGCAAATGAGCCTATAACAAGATGGATTTAGTACGTGATGTAGCTATGGATGCTCCAATTGCATAGGGAGCTGAACACAGTATCTGAGATTTTTTTTGTCCAGTTGCCAAAAAGGATATGTTATTTTTGGTCTCCTGATTGGTCAAACCTACAGGTAGCAGTATGTTCTCCAACATTTTCATGCTCAACGACACTTCTACATTTTCTTGTTTCAGAACTTAAGTTTTGCATGCACATCCATTTTACAAATCTAGCTTTTTTAAATATGCAGACTGCAGGTTCCTTGCTTTCAGACAGATGCACTCTGACCTCAAAGGAAATATTGAAAAATCAGTCACCTTTGATGACATGCTTGCTAGGTTTGGTGACCAAAAGTCCCATTTCTGTTGGGACAGTATAGTTTTTGTTTCTTTTAAAAGTTCATTGATTTCTGTCTTTCCAGACGATAGTGTTATATTACTCTATGAGGAGGCATGAGACTCACAGTCCATGGTGATGGCGTTTATGACTAGCAAGACCCGCCCATATCAAGAAAAGTCTTCCACAATGATAGCATGGGATTTCAGGACCATTGTTGACAACATTTGTGTTTAATCCGTTTCTTTTCAGATGCTCAGCTCTCATCCTTTTTGCAGTCATTTCTTCCTTCAGTCTCATTCCCTTCCTGATATGCCCTTTCCACACAACACGGTCCACGGAATTTAGTTCCCATGAGTTCGCCTCAATACCTGTATCATTCATGTCCCACTTGCATACATCTTTATAACGAAGTAGACTTTTAAAAGTAGAATCCAGAGTATCTCACCGAGTATTGACACGATGGTCTTGCCCTGACTGAAATAAACAAATGATACTGCCCTTGCAAAAACAGGACTTATAATCATCCTCTTATTAGGGGTGCGGTGGGTCAATCCCCCCCCCCCCCCCACACACACACACACACACAAATTGGACACTAGACACCACACGAGAAAGGTAGCAGGCTAAGATGGAAAGAACAGACAGATTAGTTTTGTTCTTTCTGCAACTATTTCTTTAACCACTGTGAACAATTTTTCCTCCAGGTTTTACACATTCAGGTTCTCCATCTGGCCATCATCCTGTGTATTCATGTGGTGTTCTTCATGCTCATCCCTGCAGCCATATTTGCCATTCTGGAGCCTGGCTGGAACTACCTTGATGCATTTTACTACTGCTTTATTTCGTTGTCCACAATAGGACTGGGAGACTACATTCCTGGTAAGTCTGTTACAAGTCTTTGTCCACAACAAGACTGGGAGACTACATTCCTGGTAAGTCTGTTACAAGTCTTTGTCCACAACAAGACTGGGAGACTACATTCCTGGTAAGTCTGTTACAAGTCATTGTCCACAACAGGACTGGGAGACTACATTCCTGGTAAGTCTGTTACAAGTCTTTGTCCACAACAGGACTGGGAGACTACATTCCTGGTAAGTCTGTTACAAGTCATTGTCCACAACAGGACTGGGAGACTACATTCCTGGTAAGTCTGTTACAAGTCTTTGTCCACAACAGGACTGGGAGACTACATTCCTGGTAAGTCTGTTACAAGTCTTTGTCCACAACAAGACTGGGAGACTACATTCCTGGTAAGTCTGTTACAAGTCTTTGTCCACAACAGGACTGGGAGACTACATTCCTGGTAAGTCTGTTACAAGTCATTGTCCACAACAGGACTGGGAGACTACATTCCTGGTAAGTCTGTTACAAGTCATTGTCCACAACAGGACTGGGAGACTACATTCCTGGTAAGTCTGTTACAAGTCTTTGTCCACAACAGGACTGGGAGACTACATTCCTGGTAAGTCTGTTACAAGTCATTGTCCACAACAGGACTGGGAGACTACATTCCTGGTAAGTCTGTTACAAGTCTTTGTCCACAACAGGACTGGGAGACTACATTCCTGGTAAGTCTGTTACAAGTCTTTGTCCACAACAGGACTGGGAGACTACATTCCTGGTAAGTCTGTTACAAGTCATTGTCCACAACAGGACTGGGAGACTACATTCCTGGTAAGTCTGTTACAAGTCATTGTCCACAACAGGACTGGGAGACTACATTCCTGGTAAGTCTGTTACAAGTCTTTGTCCACAACAGGACTGGGAGACTACATTCCTGGTAAGTCTGTTACAAGTCATTGTCCACAACAGGACTGGGAGACTACATTCCTGGTAAGTCTGTTACAAGTCTTTGTCCACAACAAGACTGGGAGACTACATTCCTGGTAAGTCTGTTACAAGTCATTGTCCACAACAGGACTGGGAGACTACATTCCTGGTAAGTCTGTTACAAGCTGGTCAGCACATCATCATCACTACCTGTTGTATCATTCAGTCTATAAACATTAGGATGCTTTCCTCAGTAATGCAAAGTTCTCTTGCATGTCATCATCTTCTTTGATCTGCTATTGTTTCAGTCTGGTCAGGGCCGCTGATTTAGTTGTCGCATTATTATTTTAATTCTGGCCTTTCCGAAAACATTGAGCTTTGAAAACCAATCTGGATAGAGATTTTAGCTTGTGACCATTGGGAAGAAGATACTAATTCTAGTCACTGTGTTCCATGGCTGTCAATATCTCCAATGTGATATATTTCTAACCTTTTTTTCTCCATGTTAATTTTTTTTCTAACCTCCTATCTTCACACAGATATATTTCTAGCCTACTGTCTCCAGAGGGATATTTTTATTGCCTTCTATCTTTAAGTGAAATATTATAACCTGTCTCCACAGTAATATATTTCCAACCTTCTATCTTCAAACTAATATATTTATAACTTTCTATCTCCACAGTGATATATTTGTAACATTCTATCTTCACACTGTTATATTTCTAACCTTTTATCACCACATTCCTAGACTCTTTCTTTTCTGAAGAGCTATACCTAACCTGCACAGCAAATTTACGCTAGCTCTTGAAGGTTTAATGCCTCCAAGTGGTTCAGCATCTCATTTCCTAGCCATGAATTTTATAGTTTCTGAAAAACAGACTGAGAATCTGTGTATCCTTGTGAGATAAATCCACTTTTATCAGGACCATCATGCTCTTGGGTAAAAAATGTTAATAGGAATCTATGATGAGAATTGTGAGGAAACACAACCTGAAAACTTAGTGTTTTAGCAGGACAAACCAGACCCTTAGCTTTTGTTAGCTGCTGGTCTAGAAGGGAAGCTCCAACAAACGGAAAAACAGAGCTCTGCTTGTCTGATCTGGCAACTTTTTCAGCACACCTTGTACCAAATGTATTGATGTTATCTTTTTGTTTCAGCAAAAAAAAAAAAAAATCTGGCCTAGGGATGTATTATGCTGTGTTGGCAATGAATTATCTCTACAATACAGCCCAGGTTTTATGCTGTAGAGAAGAGAAACTTCTTCATTTTCCTTAATTGTAATTGCCATGGGCTGTGACTCCGTTACCTCCCTACAACACAATGGAACACTGTCGTCTGGAAAGATGAAAAGTTTCGGTCAAAGATGATGGTTATAATAAAAAGGACACAAATAAAATAGTGGTAATGGATTTTCTGAACTGAAAGTTTCAAATTCCATTAACATTGGCCCCACTGATCGGAGTGTCGGAACAAATCGGGGAAACCATGCCTGATGCATGCTTTTCCTATACTTTCCTGTTAAGTGTCCAAATGCAAAAATGTTAAGGGTGTCTAACGTGCTGAAGATTGGACCTATTTGTGTGATCATTGAAGTCCCAGACCTGTGGGCTTTTCCAGAGGGTTTTACGAATAAGAAGCTCAAAATATGGATGTGAGGTTTAGCAGTCATGTGCAGGATGCAAGGATTCGTTGGGTGAGCCCAGGACCAGAGCATCCTGTGTTGGCTCTGCATTTATGAAAGCCTCCTAGCAAGTGGGGAATGCCCATGACCTGCCCCAAGCCTTCCCTTCAGGTTTGACCAGTCTACACCCTGGATGTGTTCTCCAGAGGTAACAACTTTAGATAAAGGGAACAAGAGGACACCACACAAAAAAGTCTACATCATCTCTCACGAAACTAAGCAAGAAGGCTAGCCTGGCAAACAAATGCCCAACAAAGTTGGATGAGTCGGATAAAGGTGTGAATATTTAAGCTATGCTGTAAACAGGCACAACATAGTTACAGTACTTGGATGAATGATGAAGAAGGAGAAAATTTTCTAGACTTATTATTACATTCAAATAAATGAAATAGTGGCTTGGCATATTCATTTGCTAACCGACTAATATTCCTATACTTGTGTTTTTGACAGGTGACTCCTTTGATCAGCCCCACAGAGCCTTGTACAAAGTTGCCACAACCTGTAAGTATATAATGCTTGTGATACTGAGTTGTTTTCTCTCTGTATAATTCGGTCAAATCACTGACATCGGAGATCATACTGTTCCAGATTTTATCATCTCCAAAAGCATGTATCAGTGACTCCTTTTTCAGGCTAAAATTAAACAAAAAAAGAGCCACTTCCATTGTCTTTCTCTTGGTCTCTTTCCATAAATCCTTCCATTTGTCATGTTCTGACTTGTGTATGTGTGTGTGTGCATGTGTTAGTTGCATATCCTTTACGGGACATTGCAAAACCAACCCCAGCATTTTTGGCTGTTGTGGTTCTCTAGGCTAATTGTACATTCAGTAGTTTGCCATTGCTTTCTGAATGGTCAGCTTTAGGTACGACTGTCAAAACCAACACAAGACAAACCATCTGCAGCTGGGATCAAACCCAGTACCCCGGCATTGCAAAGCGCATTCGCAACACCTAAGCCACAGATGCCGACTTGTAATGAGTACAGGCACCTGTTTCCCTAGTCAAAAGCACTGGTCTGTAGTATATGAACACATTCATTACCATTGCCTCCATATTTATTTCTTGTGTTGTTTTAGAGAGCTCATTGGTCCCCCAGGGGTGAATGTGTATATGACAGCTAAATCCATCACTGCCACACTTGAAGAATTATGAATATACATAGATAACAATAAACATATAATATGGCAGCAACGTTTCAGCAACACATGTTCACAGTATTAAAACCATCTGGATCTATTACATCATGTACAGAAGTTTCTCAGCATGCCGGCATGGAAAGCCAAACAGCAGATGTGTTGGCTGCACAATAAAGTATGGCAATACATTCTCTATCTATTTATCTTTTTTTTACCCCACCAGGACATCACACAAGCGATAAACACCATATGAATGAGGATCACCTGTGGAGAGGTCACAGAAACCTCATTCAGCCATTAGACCATATTTATGGCCAGGATATATTACGGCCCCTGGCAAGAGCCAGACTAGGGCTTCAAATAACGAAAAATTGCATCCTAAACTGGTATGACAAGATACAATACATTCTCTAGTCTCTCGCCATGGTTGTACACTCTAACAAAAGTTACAAAGTGGTTGAGACATTTGCCTCCTGCTGTGAAAGCTACGTGTTAGATAATTTTGTAGTTTGTGAGAGCTAACATATTAAAGGTCTGAGGAGATCATCACTGGAGCTCCAGATATCTGTGCTTTTCACAATTCTGTGGGCAAGCAGTTTTTGATAGAGTCATGTGGGATCAAATCTGATCTAGTCAATTAATGAATCATATTGTCTTCATACATGTTTAAACAGGCAGGCAGTGAGCTGCTCATACACCTCTGTATAATATCTTGCCACTAGTTTTTTTACCAACTGTACATTCCCCTCCAATTTTTTTTTTTAAAGTGGAAATGTTTCACTTATTGTCAAACTCATCCTGTCTATAACCTCAGTAATTTGATTATTCTTCATTAAATCTGGGACAGTTTTTTAAAAGAAAAATCACATCTTGATGACCTCAGTTTCTTAGTTAAAACAAATGTTTGGAGAATACATGAGCCTAACAAAAAAGTCACTATAAAAATGTTAATTGTTTAACAAATCATGGGGATGGTGTGTGAATGCAAACATTTAAAATGTGACTAATTGTTCATTATTATTTAAGTGTTAAACACAAATGTATGGGGAAATTTGAATTCTGAAATTTTAATCAAACATGGGTTAAGAAAACACACACGACACTGCCTCTTGTATCTACATCTATAAATGCCAGTCAATATATGTGAATTTGTTTATCAGGCTGTTTGAGTTTCATTGGCTTCAAGGGGTTTCCCAGCCATTTTTGTTCTGTGTAACTGAGAATCTGAGTTGTTCCTTGAGAGTGCAGTGATGACTTATGATCATATTCATCCTGTTGTTTAGCACTTTTAACCTCTCTCAGCAAAATTCTTTATAGATTTTTTTGTAAAATGTCCTCATTTCCTCAGTCCATTTATTTTCCACAAGCTATATGTTGTGGAGTGAGTGAATGGTGCGGAGGCACAGATGGATCAATATGGAATGAGGAAAGTGACACTGTGAGGAGTTACCAGAGGATTTGGCTGACGCTCAACATTCAGGGGAAAGGCAAGACGGATATACAATCAAACAGTTACTGGTGCCATTGGAATTGGAACTTTTTGCTTGCGGCTGAAGATTTGGACAGAGCGTTTATGGAAGTGTCCCGTATTTTGTGATGTCGATTTTTAATTCAACATTCAACATTTATTCGCCATTTCACTGTCTGCTTTTGATGATTATGTCCAGACAACAAATGTTTAAGAGAATATTTGTAAAACGTTTACATGCCATTGCAGGTTATAAAAAAAAACTTTTGCATTGCTGAACTTTTAATTTTTCTTCTTTGCTTCTTTGTAGTTTACTTACTGATCGGCATCACCATGCTGCTTCTAGTCATCACCGTCTTCTACGATATCCCAGAGCTCAACCTCGGCTACCACTTCTATCTGAAGAGTGATGAGGCTTGCAGGAAAGCAGAGGACAGCGAGAAAACAAAACTGAAGTCAAAAGAATTAGGGACAAGCAATAAGTATATTAAACAGGTATACATATTTTCCTTATATCAAATATTTCTTGTGTATCTAGTTATGTTTGCATGGTGTTACTAGTGGAAAATGAGGAGGACTTAAAGATCTAGTGGAACAAGTAGACAGACGCAGTGTTACTATAAGAAATACAGGAGCAACAAGACTCAATGGAGCAAGCAGAGTCAGAGTTACTGGAAGAAATACAGGAGCAACAAGACTCAATGGAACAAGCAGACTCAGAGTTAATAGAAGAAATACAGGAGCAACAAGACTCAATGGAACAAGCAGACTCAGGATTACTAGAAAAAAGTGAGCTAGAATTACAATAACTAGTGGAGTAAATAGACAAATATGGGTTATTAGAAGAAATTTAGCAGATATTACAAAGCCTAGTAGAGCAGATACAGCCTTACTAGAAGAAATTGAGCTGGATTTAGAAGACCTAATGGAGCCAGTAGACACACACAGTGTTGCTAGAAGATAATGAGCATGATTTAATAGATCTGGTGGAGTAAGTATACAGATACAGCCTGTTAGAAAAACTGATTGGAGGTGAGCACGAAGTAAAGAGTAATACAAATGAGAAAATAACATCACAAGATGGATGAACAGCAGTCTTCTTTTTCTGCTACAATTCAACAGTCAGAAAATATCAGGAGGCCAGCAGCTTTGTTGAAAGCTGTTGTGCAGTCCAGAACTCCTTGCATACAATACAGCTTTGTCTTGATTGAGGTTTCAACAGGCCAGACTGCTTCTTTTTTTCAACAGCAGTCCTAGAGTGTTGCAAACAAAGCAAGAGGATGAGTCTTCGAGTCTCATTGCAAAGAGAACAGAGGAGAGAACTATGAATATGCAGAATTATATGTTTTATTATTTCCCTTTAATCACTTTTTTTTTCTTTTAACTTTCTCACTTCTTTCTTCTCCCTCTTTTTCTCTATCCACACAGTTTACCTCCTTTACTATCCTACATTGTTCCATATCTAAATCATGCTTCCCATGTGGGTTCTGGGGCTCTATTATAGGAAAACAAGAATAGACCCACTGCCTACCCAAAAGCATGTTGTGTCGACTGATTGGGAGCTTCCTTTGAAGTCAGAGTGCATCTGCCTGAGAGGCAAGGAACCAACAGTCTGCACACAAATAAGTCAGATCTGTCAAATGGATGCGCATGCAACACTCAGATTCTTAAACAGGACAGCAGTCCAGAAGTGGACGAACAACCAGAACTTTCCGCCAGAGTTTACAGCCGGTAAACGCGAAGAAGAAGATGAAGAAAATCATGCGTGCACACGCCCCCCCCCCCCACACACACACTCACAGTCATTAGCACTTAACTCTTTAAGTCCTATTAGGTTAGCACAATTGGGGCTACGGAAGTTCATGCAATTTTGAAATATCACAACTGTGACACAGTAAAACAGACCATACTAACTCAACTGCTGTGCAGCTTACACATATTATGTATCAAAGTGACCAGGGATTGTTTTGAAATAATATTAGAATATTGCTAGAAAAAAAATTGTGTTAGTAGTTAATTATTAGTAAATAAACTGATGGTATGTTTAAGGAAATTAGTAAAATGAAATAATAATTTTTTGACTTACCACAATGGCATTAATGGAAAACGATAAAATGTATCTAAATTGAATCACAAATGAACGTGAACCACTTAGTAATGCATAAATAAAACATAAACACAATCAATCCATTAGATCTCATTCCAGAAACACTCTTAGAACATCATGAAAGAGCATTATGTTTTGGTAGAGAAAAATGAATTCCGAAAAAATAGTATCTTTGATAAAAAATGAACCTATATAACACTCAGTCTACCCGTAATTTTATAGCCTATGTTCCCAAATAATAAGGGAATGTCACTGGACCTAACTGACACTGAAGAATATTGCCTTTTTCACTAATATTTATTCTCTTTGTACCAGCTGACTTTGTTATTTGTACTCTTTGCACGAGGTATGTGTCAGACCTATTCCTCATCAAATTTTGACTATCAGTGACTGAAACAAGCCTACTTCATAACTTTCTTTGAAAAGCTTCGGATAAATCAGATAAATGCATGTTTTATTCAAACTTGAGGCTTCTAAAGTTATAAATCTTGTTGACATGCATGAAGAAGACTACTCTGAGGCCATATTGTTTTCACACAGTAACTTGGTAAAGCTCACAAACATGCTACATTTTGGGCTTTTAACCACATTGCCAAATAAGTCTAATGGTCAACAGATGTGACACAAAGAGCAGGGAATGCCATTCAAAACTGCCAGTTTGGGTTGTTATACTGGCCAATAGTAAATTAAAAACCAGTGTGCGTCACATGCCGATTGGCTGCCTGGGTAGTAACCGATTAGGGCTTGATGTGCTCAATGGGACTCCGAGTTAAAAAATAAAAAAAAACCTACACTGATGATAAATAATTTAGAACTGTGGGGCTATGGAATGCTCCAGAATAACTGGGCAATTTTGCTGCAATTTGTAACAGTTTCATTTTCATCCTCTTGATATTAATCTTACAGAGTGCAATCTTAGGGGGAAAGCAACTTTAAAAAAAAAAAAAGGGTGGACAGGGAGGGAGAGAGAGAAAACCTCCCAGATCTTTATATTATGTTTTGTTGAAGAGAATCAAATAATTTTGTCTGATGTCCAGGTTGACGATGTCCAAAGTATCCGATCTGGACAGTACCACAGCTATCAACAGGACATCACGCCTGTCACTGAAGAAGAGCCATGACTTTTGAAGCACTAGTTACCTCTTCTAGAATCTGCAGGATTACTTATCATACGGTGAAGCTGTATTAGGCAAACAACCATTTATCTCGACTGTGTACATCTGTGTTAAATATATGAGGCATTTAATTATGAATACGTTTATGGTAATTACTCAGTGTCTTTCAGTAGCTATGTTTAAATATTTGCTTTGGTCAAAGATTATAAGTTCTAGGCAATAGCTGTTTAACAAAATTTAATCAGGAGCCAAAATTTTGAACATAGAGATTGTCACAAGCCAGAGGCTTAAGCCCCAGCATAGAATGATCATTAACACAGTACGATTGGCAACGATCTGCAGGCGACATGCTATGCTTCCAATATCCAGATCTGGCACATGGGCCTCCGTTTGAATTGCTCTGTTACAGGCATTCAGTGAAAACTTTCTAAGGTTACACAAAAATGAATATCCTTAGAGGATTCAAAATTCATAAAAGACTCATATAGTCCGTGATGTGTGGCTATGGTCAGAATGCCAGAACCTATGGGTTCAGACTTCTCCCCTACCTCACCCCCACCATCTTTCCAGTAACATTTAAAAGTGGGGGGGGGGGGATCCCTACAAATTTTGCAGATTGACTAACTAGCCCCTCCTGCTATGTATAGAAGTTGTCTTTTAAGTACTAAATTCATAAAAGACTCATATAGTCCGTGATGTGTGGCTATGGTCAGAATGCCAGAACCTATGGGTTCAGACTTCTTCCCTACCTCACCCCCACCATCTTTCCAGTAACATTTAAAAGTGGGGGGAGGGGGTGGGGAGCATCCCTACAAATTTTGCAGATTGACTAACTAGCCCCTCCTGCTATGTATAGAAGTTGTCTTTTAAGTACTAGTTTTTGCATTTGATATTTTCTGCTGGGGGTCTCTGTGGTGAAGTAGTCAAGCCGTTTGTTTCATGCTATGAAATTCATGGGTTCATTTCATGGCTGCATCGTCCAGTTGACAAGTTCAGTTTTTATGGAGATCTCTGGATTGTCTTCAGAGCTAAGGAGTTCATGCTATGTGCAGAGGGCTAGCTGTTCTTCAAAATCAGACCAAGCCATGTGGGGGAAAATATGGTGAAGTCAATCCTCCCATTTAATATTTCAAATATATTGTTATATTTATTTGTCCTTCAACACATAGCACAAATAATAATTATTGTTATTATTATTTTGCACTTAAACAAGTCCTAAGCCTTTAAAATCCCCCCAGAAAATTTGTAAGGGGTTGAGATTCCCCACCACTACTCTGATTCTTCTCCAACCCCACTCCCCCGCCTGATTCCTTTCTTTGTGTCTGCATCCCTTGATACATCTACAATTTTTGTCTCGGCTAACACAATTTTCTGTGCATATATGACAGTCAGTTGTAGCTTCATTCTGTGAGGACAGTACCCATACTGGTCAGACTGTCATAGACATGGTGCCTGCAGTGGTATCATGTGGCCTATCATAGCTATAGTCGTGGCAAGTCATCAAGACTAGCCCTGCTAACCACCACCTGCCAGTTATGACTCTGGTTCCTGCAGACTGGTTGGCTAAACAGATACTTCACAACAGCCAATGAGATGCTTAAATCTTTCAGTCCCAGAAGGTTTAGCGTCAGAGGCCCAAGGGATAGTCAAGAGAGATGTAAAATCTGTGCATCCTGCGTTTATTGAGCTTCTAGGTAGGAACCTATGAAAGTATGATGCGTTCATTGGGACTGAAGAAGGTAAACGGCTCTTGAAAGAAACATTTAGAGAAAAAGCTACTTAACCCATTTGCTCTGTCAAAATCTATAAAACCAAACACAATTTTATTAAAAAGAAATGCATTGTTAAAATTCTCTGAAATTTTACCCTACAAAACTAGAAAAAGAGAAGAAGAAGCAGATGAAAATTTCAAGTTAGTTTTTTTTTTCTTCTCAAAAACATCCAGGATGTCAAATTGCCAGACCACCAAAGTAACTGGCAAGTGTGAAGTCCACAGCTACATTACTGCTACCAATTCACTAAACTAAATGAAATGATTATTATTATTTTCATGCAAAATACATTTTTTAAAGTAAGGAAATTAATCACTAGATTTAAAAGCTGCAGAGATTTTACTGCTTTCCTTCCCTTACACTTTGATTGTAGTTTTTAAAATTTTTTTTTAGCCACGGGGACCAAAGAGAACTCATTTAAGATTATTATGAGGTAACAATGACTTCACAATTTAACCAAAATTGAATGTAGGATGAAGGATTATTCTAGTACATTTGTTTTTGTAGGCAAAGGCCATTTATATAATGATGAATTCTTAGTATGTACTGTTTTACATTGTTGAAGAAAATATATAATTCCAAATAAATTATTATATTAATAAATTATTATTAAATTACAACAAAGCCACTGGTCATCAATTCTTACCTGAGCTAGTAGGTTGGTCAAGCCTACAATTAGTTATAGGACATTCACTGAGAATGACCACATCATCAATCGAGTGCCTATTGGTTGATAAAGGTTTGTGACATACATTTTTCAAATTGTTGACTCTAGATTCTACTATAATAGAAAGCTATGCTCTAGATTCTACTCTAATGAAAAGCTATGAGCTCATCTCAGAAAATGTCTTCAGGTCTCAGAAATATGGTTTTGCTAAATAATTCTTAGAATTCATTGGTCAGCCAAAAATGAGCAGACCAGATGTTTTGACAGAGGCAAGGGCTTGAATAAAACATCATGAACATCAGAAAAAGATGGTCACCATTTTTGGTCACGTTATGAAAAGAAGGACACTGAACTTGCTGTGCCCCTGGAAAGATGTGTGGAAAAAGACACAGAGGAAGACAACAGGGGACGATCCTTGACTGCCTTCTGTCAGGGCATGGAGGGGTGTCAGCACATGAATTGATACATGATGTTGAAGATCACAAATTGTGGAGAGGTATAATTGCTCTTGTCTTTTGGCAAGACACTTGATGCTCGCGTTGATCTCTTGATGAAACGTTACCACCTACATTACTCTGTATGTGTTGCTCTTCCACTGTTTGTTGCTTTACCTCCAGAATATGATTTTCTTCTTCTTTTTCTGCTTGTTAGACTTCATTGGGTGTAAACTCCAATGGAAAGTTCTGGTTCTTCATTCACTTCTGGACTTTGGCCTAGTTCCAGAACTTCCCCTTTGCATGCATATCTGTTTTACACATCTGAATATTTTATATCCATGGAAGACGGTTTAGGAAAAAGGCTTTTGGACAGTGGTACAAAAGTTGTACCAAGGAAGAGACTCTGGCCTCACCTAGTATTTTCTGAAGGACAGCAATGGATTTATGTTTCTGCAACAGTCAACTTCCATTGTAGAGAGGGCACACAGTTCCTGATTTATTAAAACTGATTCACTTGTCATTAAAACAGCCATCAGTAACATACTATATGAACTGAATCTCATTTACATAAGGCCTATAAATATGAGAACCCTTTGTTGGCCGAATAGAGGACAGAGTAATGAGAATATCATGAATGCAGTGGCCTGTTCCTACCTTAGTCAAACAAAATTGTATGGTGCATACAAGTTTGGACTCTATGATAGCTTACATCATGGCTACTAGTTTCCTAATATAAGAATTTTTAAAGAACAATCAATGACGAAGAAGAAGAAGAAGAAGAAGCAAGACGACGAGGAGGAGGAATAAGAAGAAGAAGCAGCAGCAGCATTAGGTTAGATTTCAAAATCTACCTCAACTCTTTCAGTACCACACAGACATAACAGAGCCCTTTCTCTCCTAGGGTTTTCTTTAAGTAATAAATGTCAGAATCATAATGAGTTAAAATAATATCATTATGAGAGAAGAGTTAAAAAAACAGTTGGAGCAGAGCTAGTATAACAACGGGGCGGGACATGAGAAGTTAAAAAAAATATATCATGTAAGCAGAACTCGACAAATGCATTGTAAGTAATAGTAAATGAGTTGATGATTAGAATCTATCAACTTGCTGCGGCTGCACTATTATGTCTACCAAATTAAATAAACCATTCTCATTGTGGAAATCAGGAAATAACAAAATTGCTGAATCATTCTCCATAACTTAACTATCCGTTTACTATCCCATGAAATAAAATGTTCTATAGTACCACATTTAACTGTATTAAATATATTTATCGTCTTGAGGGATTTTTAAATTTGACTTTAATGTTATGTTAATTTCTTGTAACATTTTAAATGATGTAAATTTATGTTTGTAAGTTTCTTAACCTTTAAATCCTGTCATACTCACTGTTTATGTTAAAAATAGTAACCACTATTGTATAGTAATTTGTATTAGAAATTATTTTTTAACATTATTATGAATTTATTTATTATTAATTATTATTATTACTTATTATTAATTCTGTTGTTAATAGTGTATAGTAATTATATAATAATTTATAAATCTCTAGGAATTATGGTAATGTTTTGGCACTCATCTTGGGCTTGCATCCCATTAAGTCAGACTGTTATCAGCAATGACTACAGCTTTCCGGTCAACCCACTTTAACAAGGAAAGGTTCTGGGATGTGAAGGCAGCTAGCATGATACTGACCACATGACCCACCAAGTGCCAACTGGTTAGCCAAACAGTCTAAAATTGTATGCCTGACGTGCCACTGGTTTAGAAAATGTCCTTTTTCTTTCTTTTTTTTAAATAAAAAAAAAAAATAAATAAACTCCATTGTTGTTTTGTTAGACAATGATTCAGACCAGAACTTTAGTCATCAATCATTAGTTAGTCATTAGTTGAGGCTCAAACATCATTCGAATGGGCCTACCTTAATTGCTCTGTTCCTATGCTAGTGAAAATCACATAGAATATCCTTCACGGACCCATTTGCAAGCTAGTGAAAAACTTGTTAGTCCCAGAAACATCTCGAAGCTTGCACATGCAAAGTACAAATGTACAAGGCAGTTGTCAGATGTGCAATACCAACGCTAGAATTACAGCTCACTGTTGATTCAAATGGAGCCACAAAAGTTGGC